TCCAGAACACGGCCACACAGCCCGGAAGACCCACACCAGCCATCGTATGCCGGCCGTGAAAGCCTTCGACAATACAATTAACCTTAAACTTTATTTTCATATTATATGCTTTCTCTAAGCCAATAAGCTTGCAATAAACTTTCTCCTATTCATACTTTAGAAGAGAATATGTATAAGGAATATATCAGAGAACTACAAGGACTTCACACTATCCATACTTTCTCAGTGACTTACTAAAGAGCAGAAATCTGGTCACCACATACTCTGCTCAGCATAAAGCCACACTGCATTTTCCAGGTTTTGCTCATTGTCAGCTCTTACACCCTTTCAGTCAGATTTTTCTCAAGCACTTTCCCAGTACACATAGCAAACTCTCTCTCTGTAGTTTTTGCATTCAGTCCTGGTATCTTTTCCTGTGTATGTGGGAAGAGTAAAGGCATTCTTCCAGTTGTCAGGCATAGTTGTAAGTCTTCACAATCACATTAAACAAGTTGCATAGCCACTCCATGACCAAACCATATCCATATTTTAACATTTCCCTAGTTACCCCATCTACACCTGCAGGCTTACTGTTCTTCAGCATTTTCACTGCATTTACTATATTACTTCCTCTTCACCCTTTTTTCCTTTATGTTTAAACCACATATTTGAAATAATGTCTTTCTCTAAGCAGTCACCAAACCATTACCATTCTCATCCATTCTTGTATCTCCAGATGGCTCAGTCACTTTTTCTGTACTCAACTTGTTCCCACCAATCCATTCATTTCATCTAACAGAATAATACTTTCCCTTAGATTGCATTCATTTAAAACGTTGCCTAGTTTTTTTTCCCCAAAACTCATTCTTGGTTCTTCCATTATCACATTATTCACCAAAACATGTTTTCAATACCAATTTTCATATGGAGCCACAAAATAATAGATAATACCAATTCATACTTTTTGACATAGATTTTAGCTCTTTCATTCATAACACCTTCATTTCCTTGTGCATTTATTTCAACTTCACAAGAGTGGACCACCTTCATTCAGATCTATTATATCTTTTTCTTCTTTCTTAGTTCCACAAAGAACATACTGTATCCACAGTCAGCCTTTGATTTTATGGACTTTGGTTCAGCGGATTTTGGATGTAATAGGCAAAGTCTAAGTTTGCATTTTACCCCAAACAACAGACAAAATCCATTCTTTGCAAATCAATCTGGACAATGCTTATACATTATCTAAATTTTATATACCCAGTGTACATTTTACATGCACTATGTACATTTTACTCGTGCATAAAATCCCATTTAATGGACATTAGGCTTTAACAGACTTCCAATTAGTCTGTTAAACCAAGCATTTAGTGTATTTTTATTTCTTCATTTCATTTGTTAAGTCACATTCTTCATCTACTCTTAAATTTCAAGTTGCAGTCTTCCATATGTCATGAACATTGCTACAGGAGCCTGTCAAAGGTTGGAGAAAGGGACAGAAACTTTCCAGACACACACACACACACTTACAGAAATACACACATACTGTTTTTCTCTAAACTACAGTAATGTTTATTATTACACTGCTTTTCAGGTAAATAATTTGTGCTGATTTGTATTATATACAGTGGCCATAGTTTAACAAATTTTATATTTATCTATATCTATATTGCGATGTTTGTGATTTCTTAACCATCCTGCCCTTCCCCACAGGTGTTACTTATCATAACTTTGATATGCATACTCTGTTAGACAGCTTCAGCACTTTCACTTCTTGAACTTGCTTTTAGTCTAGAGAGAAGGCAGGAAAGAGAGGAAAATAACTCTTTCCTAAACTCCTTGGAATTCCAGCACTTCAGTCAAGGTTTCTTCAATGACTCCCTGTCTGTCCTTTCCAAATACCAGCCTTTTCACCAGTCAGTCTGCATAACCAGATCTCCTTCTGATCTTGCCTGCTCCTGCTAGGTTGTCAGTTGCTAATCCTTCCTACAACTCTGCCTGGATTATATACCACCTCCAATCCACACAATTGGAATACAATGCCAGCAAGGTCCCAAAACCTCCTCTATATCCTTACAAACCTATCCCTTTTATACACTTTCACTAAAAGGTAGACATGCCTGCTCTCAGGCATCTTAATTCAAAAGAAGCTTCTAGGGTTGATGTGGCACTTTGCAGGGTTTTGGCAAGTAGGGAAAAAGCTTTAACTTTCAGACTAATTCATAATTCTGTCCCAATCAGGGCATCTCACCCTGCCATACAGCCCATAGATCTTGACCTTCTGCCATCCATCATGGCTTTGCTCAGATGAGGCTTTCAGTTAGTAATTTTAGTAAGATAAATATAGACTAGATTATGAGCCTTAGTCATACCCATGCTGTAGGCAGCATTATTTGCTAATGCTAAAGGTTGTATCGTCCATTCAGTACATTTTTGCAAGTGTTCCACAGGTGCTCAGTGTTACCCAAATCATGCTCCCATTATTCTATGCAAGGTAGGTTCTCTAATCTACAGACAATCTGGCAAGCCAACATAGTGGCCATCCTACCAACTCAGAGGTACATGTGTTTATTGATAAAGGATGTCTCAACATTCTCCTTTGGGTTTTTTGTTTTGTTTTGGTTTTTTGCTGTAACAGATCAACATGCCTATCCCATAGGAACTGGTGCATTTCTAGTTGGTTTCCACTACTTAGAAACAAGCAAATATTTGAGTAATTGTTAAAAAAAAAATTTTTCCTTTTCCTCAATCATATCTGCCTCTTCATAGCATACTATACCACCTTCTAAGTATTGAATGGTTTGGCCAGCTAATCTCTAAATTATATGATCTCTGTATTTTGGAAACGTACATTTGCCTGCCCTTTACTATTTCCTTTTCTTAGGGATTTGGGATGCTGCTCATGGAGGAGGCAGAGAGAATTGCCAAGGAAGAGCATGGCTCATGGAAGATAGCTGTCATTTCAGGTAATACTAGCAAATATATAAGTATGTTTCTACATAGGGGACATGCTTTGTTAACAGATGAATGGGAGAGAAAGTGTTGAACAGCTGAATATCTGAAGATTGCTAAAGAAATGGAGAAAAGCAGAGGGAGCATTTTGCTATTAAAAAGAAAGCAATGTATGCTTACATAGAGTACCTGTGGTTTGATAAGATGTTATTTCTTATTGTTTCTACATATGCTCATACTTCCAGGGAAAAGGGACTTAACAATATGTCATCAAATATACTAGAATCAACAGCTTCTTTAATACATGTTCCATGCAATTGACTATGTGGAAATTTTGACCAGACCACAACATCCAACTATGTTGTTACTGGAATTTGAATGGTGAATAGTCTGTCCTTTAAATTTGCATGATGTATCTAGGGCAGAGTTGTGAGGCTGCTCTTTCCCTCTTTCAGGTGGTCTCAGCTGATATTCTTTCCAACTGTGATCTGGAAATAATGTCTATTTCTGGCTGTTGACAAACCAGCCCCAAATATTGTTCTTCTCCAAATTGTGTAAATCAGGGATGGGCAGCTATACTAGCTTCATTTCTGGGCAGCATAGCCAGTAGGGAAGAATTGTGGGAATTGCTGTCTAGTAATATCTGATTGGCTACATGTGATGTACTCCTGATGTGCGTGCTTATTTTCTAAAGGGAGGTGCTGTGGTTCAAATCTATCTAGGGAGCATATCCTGTACCTTCATAATTCTGAGGAATTCCTGCACTTTGCACAGGAATAAGATTGATATTCACTTCTAGTTCTGCACTGAACTGAAAGTTACATCAATCTGCCTATACGATCATAAATTTACACACAGTAGTCACAGTCTGCTGAAGACTGTGGTGGACTTTTCAAAGTCAAATTGAAGAGAGGGTTGCAGAGGGAAGGAGAGGAAAGGGAAGTCCCCATTATGTGTGCATTCCACTGTTCACCTATTAATAAATTCAGCCTATTAATGAATACTCTTGGGAAAAAGTCCAGAATAAATTTAAACCCATCAAAGAATAAGACAGCCAGGAGAAGGCTGGAACGAAAAAGTATAGGCAATAGTACTTTTCCCTGTTATTCTTCAGTTTCAGAAGTTTTAGAAGTTTAGCTTTGGGGAAGGGAAGGATGATATTTTTAAAATTCTGATTGCCATCCTTGTCCAAGCAACCGGCCTTTCTTGCAATGCAGTAAATGAGAAAAGTGGAGTCTGATGACCCAGGAGAGAGATCTATCAAGGAAGGAGGATGAGAAGTTTGATCCTTACTCATGGCAGTTCATACGGTACAGAGCATGTCTTGCACAATTAAAAAGCAAAAGTCAAATGAGAGCAGGGTGTTTCCCTTCTGTTGCAGTTCACTCTAATCTTGCTATTTACATTAAGAGTATTGCAAACTGGGTAAAGTGTTTTTAAGTTTAAACTAAGTTTAAGTTTAAAGCTGTTTTCAGTTGTTCAAGGAAGGCTCTGTTGTCTCCTGCAAATGCAGACAGAAGTGGAATGAAGTTGCTGCAAAAAAATAGAACACTTCCTTGCTCTTTTAAGTTTCTCCCTTCTGAAGTCACCCTCCATGAATAGAGAAAACAGTAGTCATGTATCATCATCTATCCACTTTTTTCACTGTTTTCCTGGAAATGAGAGTTACTCTTTCACTGAAAGGATTTATTGATTTATTTCCATTTTGATGTGGCCAAATCAAATTATTTCAACTCTTAAAAACAGAAAATAATACATTAAAACAACATCAATATAAAAGAATATAACATAAAACAAGCCATGTAATATAACATATGTAACATGTATCCCGATAGCAGAAATCCACTCTGGATGGCATGAGTTGTCAAAGGCCCTGCAAAATAACTCTGTTTTAGCTACCTTCCTGAAAGACACCAAAGTTGAGGCCAATCTGAATTTTGGAGGGAGGCCATTCCATAACATGAGAGCTACTACATAAAAACAATGTTCCTGGGTATCCCAAAATCTTACCTCCCATAAGTTGGAGACACTCAGAAATCCCAACTGGGACAAGCAAACATGATGGGTTGGATCTGCTTGAACTGCAAATACCAAGGAGCCAAGCCACTGAGGACTTTAACAGTCAACACCAGCATTTTGAATTGCACCTGTAATCTTAATGGTAACCAATGCAGTGCCTACATTATGGGGGTCACATGATTGCAGTAGCTTTCACCCATCAGCATGCAAGTGGCTACATTCCGCATCAGCTACAGTTTCTGAGTAGGTTTCAAAGGTAGCCTTCTGTAGGGTGCGATGCAGTAATCTGTCCTGGTGGAGATGAAGGCACGAGTTATGGTTGCCAGGTCCTCCTGCTCAAGATAGGGCTACTGGTGCACCAGCTGGAGCCAGAAAATAAAAAGGGACTCTTAGCTGATGCCTGTCTAAATGAATCAAAATTAGATAGCTGTTCTCTCAGAATTTAAAAAAAAATAGCAAAAAGGCTCATTCTTATGCTGATACAGTGTTGCTAGTTTCAGCAATTCTGGGTCACTATTCCCTTTGGGAAGGCCATTCTCAATTGGTATTTTGCATTATATTAAGTGAATTTGTTTTTTAGAGTATTACTTCAGCCTTGTATGAAACAAGCATGAAATCCTCTCAGGATTATAGTAATTTATTCTGTCAAGACTCAGAGTTTGACCCTAAAACTATTAAAACATGTTAAAAAAGCAGATGCTTTCCAGCTGTTACCCTTGAAATACAGTGTTAAGATTTTTCTTCCTGCAGGTTTTATAGATAAAAATGCAACAAGATTGATTTGTGCATTAATGATGATTGATTGATTTAACATATTGGTATGCCACCATAGTCAAAAATTACTGTCAGAGGGCTCACCTTGCTTTGTTAATTTTGGGGAGGAAGGTTGCATTTTTTCCAAAACCCTTGTAAGCATTCATAAGTAGAACAGTCAAAATCTTGACTCCCATATAAAAATTGCCCTTTAAAACAGCAGAATTCATCTAGTCAATGGAGTGGCAGGGTTCCCATCTAAAAAGAATTGGCCTGGCTATGAGATGGAGTTAGACAGGAATGTGCAAAAAGTTTTCTCTCAAAATGTTTTGGAATGCAAAATTTCACAAAACACCCTAGATACAGCATGAAATAGACTGTCTTAAGTATTTTGGAAATATGTCAAGCTTGGAACAGCTCTGTTATAACTGACCTGCTGCAGATATATCTCCTCCCATCCCGTCTTGTGATTTTGTACCTCTGTGGCCATTTCTGCTTTGGTGCTAGAGAGAACAAAGCTTCCCCAGCAACCACTGGAGTCTACTGGAGTTGGACGTCCAGTAAATTTAAATAAATAATACCATCCAAAGGTTTTTACTTACTTATGTGTTTGTCTGTTTTCTTTTTAGCGTCAAGTAGGAATAGCAACTTCCTGTAAATTAATCCGTGGGATTGTTATTCCAATCGGTCGCCTCTGCTGCTTAGTTTTTTTCCTCTCCAACAGGTACAGAGTCTTGCTGGGAAGGAGAAAAACCTAGTTTTTCCTTTGCCTTTCCTGCCCCACCTTTACCTCTGTACTTCCTCCACAGCTGCTTCCAACAGCCACAGCCCTAATGTGAGTGCAGCAACTTTACTGGACTCATTTTGGGAAGCATGGCAAGAACACAGTAGAGACAGAGGTGTTTTGAATTGGGAAGAAAGGAGGGAACCATATATCTGGCAATGCGAGGCTCTTAGTCAGAGAGAAAGCTGTTACAACATGTATTTTCAAGCCAAATTCTTGATTTCATAGAATTGGGGTGGGAAATTTAGGGATCTCCCAAGATGCTATTAAGCTACAGTCCCCAGCAGCTTCACCAAGAACTGATGGGTGCTGGAGGCTATAGCTCAATATCTGAAGGGCCACAAGCTCTCCAGCCTGGCCTTTTCAGGAAGACCAGATACTTACCTATGACACTGATAGGTAATTGTGCATAAATTGTTACCAAAGATGTTTAGTTGATTTCAAGTTGGGCCATTTGAACTTACTTTAGCAATTTCTCTCACTTTCTCTTTGTCACACTCTCAGTCTCCCTCAGATTGTTTCAGATATCCAAAGAGATGCTGATTTTTGGTTGATTATTCTCCTTTTCATTATAAAGAAGCAGAAAAGAGGAAGCACTTGAAGAGAGTTTAAGAGCACATTTTGAAGCAGCATGAAATGCATGAGCTGATACTGTGGTAGAAGCCTCCATGCAGTCTTTAGAAAGTTAGACATACTTTAGGAGATATAGACTTTCTCTCAGTTGGGAATCATTCTTACTGCAAGATTGATGAATCTCAGTCTCTCTCTCTCTCTCTCTCTCTCCCCCCCCCACACACACACACACTCAATTTAGTAAAAGTATATAAAGCAAACAAAGATAGGAGTAATTATCATCTTAATCTTTTCCCCATCCTCCTCATCTCTTTTTTACTCCCCGAATCCTGAAATCATCAATTCAATCTTTTCTATTTTCAACAAAAAATCCATATAAGGTTTCTGGTCTTTCAAACAAATCTTCATTGTTTTTGCCAAATTAATGAATTTCATGGAGGAGGCAGGACGTACTGTATTTCTAGAAATGGGAGCTTCCCCCTATTTAAAGCCATATCCTTTTGAAGAAGTTTCTTGGGGGACCTTATGGTCTCCAGCATCGCATGTATCTGACCCATGCCCTAAAGCAAATACAACCCACGGTAGATTTCCATCTCTCCTTTTCACAAAAGTCAGCCTTGATAAAGGAATAAAGGGGGGAAAAAACACCAAAAGCCAAATTGTACTTTTTATAGCTGGAAGTAAACATTAAAAGGTGAAACACCAGGCAGAAACTCTGTAGTTGATAAAAGCCATTTGAAATGGCAGGGAAAGGAGCAGATCCACAGGACCCGACTGTTACTTTCTGCATGCTTAGTGGGCCTACCCAGAATAAGCCAGAGACTTCATTTCTGACCTCTTCACCAAGATAACTAGGCATATCAAGATGCAGGCTGTAACCTATTG